GCTGACCACCTACTACTAACACTAAGGGACTGACCACCTACTGTTAACACTAAGGGACTGACCACCTACTATTAACACTAAGGGACTGACCACCTACTATTAACACTAAGGGACTGACCACCTTCTATTAACACTAAGGGACTGACCACCTTCTGTTAACACTAAGGGACTGACCACCTTCTGTTAACACTAAGGGACTGACCACCTACTATTAACACTAAGGGGCTGACCACCTACTATTAACACTAAGGGACTGACCACCTACTATTAACACTAAGGGACTGACCACCTACTATTAACACTAAGGGACTGACCACCAAACATTAACACAAAGGGGGACTGACCACCTAACTATTAACACTAAGGGACGACCACCTTCTATTAACACTAAGGGACTGACCACCTTCTGTTAACACTAAGGGACTGACCACCTTCTGTTAACACTAAGGGACTGACCACCTTCTGTTAACACTAAGGGACTGACCACCTACTATTAACACTAAGGGGCTGACCACCTACTATTAACACTAAGGGACTGACCACCTACTATTAACACTAAGGGACTGACCACCTTTTTTTTCAAGGATGAGACGCTTTGTAATATGATTCTGCCCCTGACTGCACTTTTTGGTTCATCTTGAGTAACACTCGCTGAGCTCGAATCTCCCGGACTTTTTCATACCTACTCCTAAAACTGCGAATGGATCGCGTTTCCACCACCTCGTCTACTGTAGCTTATTTGGATTCTGAATCATCGTGAGACAATATAAATCCTGAGGTTTCATTTATATCCTGAGGTTCCATTTGTGTCCTATGGTTCCATTTGTGGCCTGAAGTTCTATTTGTGTCCTGAAGTTCCATTTGTGTCCTAAGGTCCCATTTGTATCATGAGGTTCTATTTGTGTCCTGAGGTTCCATTTGTGTCCTGAGGTTCCATTTGTGTCCCGAAGTTCCATTTGTATCTTGAAGTTCCATTTGTGTCCTGAGGTTCCATTTGTCTCCTGAGGTCCCATTTGTGTCCCGAAGTTCCATTTGTATCTTGAAGTTCCATTTGTGTCCACTTCCCTGTGTGGGTCGTTGCATTTCTTGACCACCTCAAGGCTAATGAAGTATTTCCTATTTCCTGTGTGATCGTGTACCAGAGACCCGCCTCTCAAACATTCTTCCTCTTCACCCCGTATATTCCTCTGAGTAGTTTGCACGATGTAATCATGTGACCTCTGATCCTTCTGTCTTCTTATGTCATCAGATTTAGCTCCTCTAGTCTCTCCTCATAGTCCCTTAGCTCAGGAACTAATTTCGTTGCGAGCCTTTGCACTTTTTGAAGCTTCTATACATGCTCAACCAGATGCAGGTTACAAATTGGCGCTGCATACATCAGGATGGTCCTGACATATGCAGTGTATTAGGTCGTAAATGTCTCTTTGTTGATGTTCCTGAAAGCTGCTCTTAAAGTTGCCAGTCTTGCGTTTCCTGCAGCGGTTATTCAGCTGAACTATGCTCACTCCGAGGCCCTTCTCTTTCAGGGAGGTTTACAGCCTTTGTACCACCCCCCCCCCTCCCCTCCCGAGCCTGCAGTGTATTTCTTTTCTCTAATTTTCTTAAATTTGCATTTGTTGGGGCTAAAATCCAGTAGCTACTCATCAGACCAATCTTTCCGCTTGTTCAGATCCGTCTGTAGTCTTTCCTGGTATACTCTTGTTCGTATTCTGTCAAGTCGTTCATATACACCAGAAATATTACAAGTCCAAGTACTGATCCTTGAGGGACCCCACTCGTCATATTTGGCCATTCCGACACCTTACTCACTGCTTCGTTCCCATTAAATATACATGCTCCACTGTAGCACATAACCTGTTTTTCCTGCCTTCTCCTCAAATATTTGTTCCAGTTTCTTGTTGGGTACTGTATCGAACGCCATCTTACAGTCCAAAAATATACAATCCACCATTCCTGTCTCTCCTGCCTAACTTTCGTTACCTTATCGCAGAACTCCAGCAGGTTTGTGAGCTAGAATTTGCCATCTTTAAAACCGTGCTTGTTGTTGTTTATGAATCCATTCCTCTCCAGTTGCTCCACTACTCATCGGATAATCTTCTCCACAACCTTACATACTATGCATGTTAGTAATACTGACCTGTAATTCAGTGCTACCTGTCTGTCGCCTTTTTTAAATATTGGGACAACATTCACTTCTTTCCAGACCTCTGGCAGTTACCTTGTTTCAGTCAACTTCGGCATCGTTGCTAGTGGATCACACAGTTCCTCTGCTCTCTCGCTGAACCCAAGGAGAGATTTTGTCTGGTGTCATTACCTTCGAGGCATCTAGTTCACTCAGTACTTTCTTCACTTCTCTTCCCGTTGTTTATATTGTGTCCAGTGATGGTTTGTGCACTCTTTCTCTAAGAATGTCTGGCAGTGTTCCTGATTCCGTTGGGAATATTTCCCTAAATCTATTAAACAGCTCATCACAGACTTCCTGGCCATTTCTTGTGAGCTCCTCTCCTTCCTTCTTCAGCTTTTTTTGCCTTGTCCTTCGTAATTATTTTCTCTCCGATGTGGCTGTGTGTGTGTGTGTACTCACCTATTTGTGGTTGCAGGGGTCGAGTCGTAGCTCCTGGCCCCGCCTCTTCACTGATTGCTACTAGGTCCTCTCTATCCCTGCTCCATGAGCTTTATCAAACCTCGTCTTAAAACTATGTATGGTGTGTGTGTGTGTGTGTGTGTGTGTATACCTAGTTGTAAATACACAAACACGCACAGTCACATTTGTAAATTGCCTGTGGATAATTCACATGTGCGTGCAGTTACTAATACCATCAAACAGAACTACATTACTGTTCCTTTCACGAGATGATCAAGTAAGCTACACGCCTGCTTATGTATTAGGAAATAGATCTTACGTATGAATAGGATGATCCTGCAAGCTACACGCTTATTATGAGATAGATCTGAGCTGCCAATCATCATGCTGAGTTGCTCTGCCTAGTCAATCAAATTCGGCGGGGCGACAGGTTAATTAAGTCTGGGGAGGTATGAAAGCCGGGGTTCTAGCCCCCTGTGCGCAGAGGCACGGGAATCTGCTGGTGGTGGTGGTGGTGCTAGTAGAGTTGGTGGTGGGAATGGTCCTAGCAGTGCTGGTAGTGCTGGAGCTAGTGGAGCTGAGAATCACGAATTTTGTTGAAAATGTTATAAATATTAACAATTTGATGGGTAAAACACATCTGCAACAGCTGGGTAAAGTAGGTAAGGTTGAGGGACTGATTATATCATCTTTACCTTGCCTCTACTACTCCTGCTGCCTACAATACAGTCTGCTCTGTATTTGACTGATGAAGCTACCCGCGTAGGTGAAACACTGCAGCAAAAAAGACACCCAGATGTGGCACATGTGTCTTAATCATCACATGTTTTGCTTCGAGAAAGACAAGGACAGGAGTGGTTACTGTCTTAGTGAAATTGTTGAGGAAAATATCATGACAAGTTGACCTGCTTGGTGGAAACACGAATGACCTGGAATTTTGTGATGTACAATGTAGTTTTGTACATTATTTGATATTTGTCTATTTGGAACAATTTGCGGGAACATATCCTATCTCTTATTGTCTGACAGCTGAGATTACGTCTATATTAGTCCATATTATTGAATCTTTATTATTTGCCAGTTTTATTACATTGCTTAATTGGTTTGATATTAATTAGTAACACTAGGTGAGTTGGAGGAAGGTGTACTCTCGCTCAGAGATAAGTTGAAGTTTTGCTTGCAGCTAGGGAAGGACAAGGAGCAGGTGCTCTGTCTCTATCAGCATAGCCTCCCATACGAACACATTGTGAGTCATTTTTGGAGTTTTTGCACATCGTAGTTGTTCATACAACATAACCAGTTTGTGGACTGTCATGTCCTTTGCTGAACTTAGGTTTCTGCTGGCTAAGTTCAAGTTGGAACATAGTCTATGGGGGCAAAGGTCTCCACTACGTTATTCAGAGTATCCATAACATACCACACATATGCAATCATTTAGTCTTTCATTATCTTGCAAGAACATTGTAACAGAGATTTCCTGAGTCACAGAAAGAAGTTTGCTTCTACTTAGTAGTGAACGACCTAGTATTACCCCATCTTTATGGACTCGCCCACTGCTCGGACTGAGTGAGCTTTGTCTCTGTCTTCTAGCTGTCAACACACTGCATGGCGTGGATTCAGTTCTTGCTAGATTTTACTGCACATACACTGTGTGGGCTCTGGGTCATGTGCTAATGGGGTGCACACCTTGACACGTGTGCTGGTCTTAAAAGTTATGTGATGTTTATTTTTCATGTTTAATCAAGTGTTGAACTAATTATCGTTTGTAGGTTGATTAACTTCCATTAGTCATATGACTTGTTAGACCTGTACTAAGGGTATTACTTCGATTACATTTATATTTTGAGTTATATTTCTTCTTAATATATTTGTGCATGATACCTTTATTAGTAAAGATAGATGCATATTACACTTCTTATTTTAGTAAATTCCAAGAATGTTGAGTAGAAGTGACAGTTTCAGTTTATTGGCATGAGATATTTACCTACAATAGACACTGTTATGGAATCATGTCAAGCATGTCTTACAGGGTTCAAAACCTTTCTCATATGATACTGTTACTCCGTCAACTTTGAGAAAATTAAAAAAAACAGTAATAGCCGTGAGGATGATGGCCGATCATCTATTAATACTATAAGACATAAGTCAACATGACAACGAGTATTTTAATCGAATTTATTGCTAACAATAAGTTCTATAAGTAAAGGAAGTCAACATCTGTACGTTCAATGCTCCTGGAGATGCTAGTAGGATCATGTGAAGCTAGTAGAGGTACCACAGAATTTGTCAAAATGCTTTTGCTTATATATATATATATATATATATATATATATATATATATATATATATATATATATATATATATATATATATATATATGTGTGTGTGTGTGTACATGTGTTTATTCTTGACTAACCTAGAGCGAAGCCATCCTTGGTCCACTGTGCCTTGCCCTGCTGATTCTCCACTACACATCTCAGGAAGACATCTGCTCCTTCCATCACCTCAACACTCTCAGGCGTCACTCTGAACCTCTGGAAGCCTGCACCACAGCCTGGCCACACAAACAAAGCTTGTTAGTAATAATAACAATAATAATAATATCAATAATAATAATAATAAAAACCAAAACAATAACAATAGTATTTTTTATTTCTACAAGTCCATGATACAACTTACACAGACCATGGCTGACGACAGTGATATGCTATTTAGAAAGCCCCTTGTTATGCAGAGCATGTCGGGCAAATCAGGTTAATTTTCTCCCGAGGATGCGACCCACGCCAGTCGGCTAACGCCCGGGGTTTCTATTTATGCTAGGTGAACGTAACACAGGTGAAAAGGAAACAAGCCCAATTTTTCCCACCCGTCCCGGGGATCGAATCGGGGACCTTATTGTTGAGCGGGGGCGCTACCAACCGGCTTGGGGCACCAAATGGGCCCTCTTCCTCTTGCATCGTTATTTTACAGTTAGAGCTGTTACACCACTCGTAATTAAGTGTTATCTTCCCTAAACTCAGTCTTCTCAAAGCTCAGTGCATCTAAAATGTATTACCCCACCCGGGATGCCCCCCACAACGTCGGTTATCACGTTTCTAAGTGATTCCCACCGCCCGGATGCCACCCACAACTGTCGGTTATACGCTATCAAAAGTGTATTACCACCACCGGATGCTACCCAAAAACTGTCGGTTTCAGAAAACCAATATATTCACCCCCCGGGTGCCACCCCCAATTTGTGGGTTTCACGCTTTAAATGTATTACCACCCCCCAGGATACCACCCACAACGTGGGTTTTCACGCTATCTAAAGTTTTTTTTAACCCCCCGGGATACCCCCCACAACTGCGGTTATCACGCTATGAAAAGTGTTACCACCCCCCCGGATCCACCCCAACTGTCGGTTGCCCCCCACCGTGGGTTACCCCCCAAATGCCACCCGGGTATCTTTTTCTTCTAGGTGAAAGTTGTGTCCCTATTTTTTGTTGAGTTCTGTCAATCTGTATCTATTTGGAAGTTTGTAAACCCTATGTTTTGTCAACCTATATTTTGTCAACCTATTTTTTAAACCCTATTTTTTGTCAACCTATTTTTTTGTCAACCTTATTTTGTCAACCTAGTTTTGTAACCATTTTTTTTCAACCTTGTTTTGTCAACCTATGTTTTGTCAACCTATGTTTTGTCTGCCCGTGTTAGCTTGATTTCAGTGATATTTGGGGGATTTACCAATTTTTCTGGTCATTTTTTCAAAAATATTTCAATTTTATAGAGAACGAACTCCAAGAATATTTATGGATTTTTTTTTCGTTAAAAACGGGGTTTTAAAAAAATAGGTTTTGAAAATTTCAGGTAGTAAGGAATGAAGCTTAAATAGTTAGACTCTATTGAGAGGAGGAAACGAGGCTTCGATGTTTAGGGGTTATTGTAGCAAAAACAAAGGCTCAGTGGGTTTAGGATCTACCTGTTAAAAGAAAAATCAAATTTATTCAACGAGGGTTCCGTGGTTCAGAATTACCTTTAAAGAAAACCCTCAAGTAGATTCAAGAGGGGTTCAGGGTTCAGAATCTCCTGTTAAAAAAACCATCAGTTGTATTCAATGAGGCTTCTGTGGTTCAGAATCCACCCGTTTAAAAGGGAAACCCTCAAATTTTTATTCAAGAGGCTTCAGTGGGGAGGATCTATCTTTAGAGAACAAGGCTTCAGTAATTCAAAATCTATCAGGAAGCAGAGAAGGAAGATGTCATAGTTAGTTAATTAGGTTGTTATGGACTAGCAAGACAAAGTTCTTGATCAGTCAGGTTGTTGAGGAGGAGAGTTCCGAAGTTCAGCGGGTACCTATCGACACCGGAGAGCAGGCACCCTTGCTGCTCCTAATTACTGCCAAGTCTTACCAATTTACTCCTGATGTCCTGATCTCGCAAGGAGATAGATCAGTCTTGCTCTCGCTCTCTCCCTCTCTTTCTCTCTCTCTCTCTCCTCCCTCTCTCTCTCTCTCTCTCTCTCTCTCTCTCTCTCTCTCTCTCTCTCTCTCTCTTTCTCTTCTCTTTCTCTCTCTCTCTCTCTCTCTCTCCTCTCTCTCTCTCTCTCTCTCTCTCTCTCTCTCTCTCTCTCTCTCTCTCTCTCTCTCTCTTTCTCTCCTCTCTCTCTCCCTCTCTCTCTCTCTCTCTCTCTCTCTCTCTCTCTCTCTCTCTCTCTCTCTCTCTCTCTCTCTCTCTCTCCTCCTCTCTCTCTCTCTCTCTCTCTTCTCTCTCTCTTTCTCTCTCTCTCTCTTCTCTCTCTCTCTCTCTCTCTCTCTCTCTCTCTCTCTCTCTCTCTCTCTCTCTCTCTCTCTCTCTCTCTCTCTCTCTCTCTCTCTCTCTTAATTAACCCGTTTAGCTTTCATGTATTAATTATTCATAAAATTTGCTTAGTTCCTCACTTAATTAATTTATCCATTTGAAAATATAACATTTAATTACTTTACATGTTATTACATTACGCTTCCCTCCTCTCCCCCTTCCCCTCCTTCCTTCCCTCTCCTCTCCCCTCCCCCTCCCTCTCCCCCTTCCCCTCTTTATTTCCCTCTCCTCTCCCCTCCCCTCCCCTCCTCTCCCCTCCCCCTCCTCCCCCCCCCATAAGTGAAGCCGGTTACTATGTTTCAAACATGATGTTGATGAAATTATTCACCGGTTTAAATGTTTAATAACGCCAGCCTCTTGCATTCCTTGCTTGTTAACACACACACACACACACACACACACACACACACACACACACACACACACACACACACACACACACACATAGCTGACTGACATGATATCTGATGCTATTTTTCAAGATGATATCAATTGATAAGGAAAACAGAGAAAACAGGAGAGGAGGTGTAGCTCTCTTGATCAGAAATCAGTAGAGTTTTGATAGACAAGAAAGCACACGACTTCGTAGTGGACGCAATTAATAGTGAGGGTCTCATAGTAGTTGATAGAGTTATATACAACTCACCACCTAATAATAGGTGACCGTGGCAGGAATATGAAGACAATTTAATGGTTGCCATCATAGCTGAAGCGACTAGAAGTGCACATAGGACCTAGGCTAAGCTACACAATCAGGTGAATGCAACTACAAAGAAACTGACTGGGAGACCTTGGACATGAAACACGGATAGTTAAGTTGATGGAGGTAGTCAATAAAAAGTTTGTGCCAACATGTTAAGTATAAGACAAGAGAGAGAAGGAGATATGCCAGCAAGGCTGGACCTAGCGTTTACCTCAAGTGCATTCGACATAGGAAGAACAGAATACAATAACCTCGAGGCTCAGCGATATGGCAGTACTGAACTTTGAGTATCTTGTGAAAGTAAACATGGAGAAGATTAGCAAGAAGAGGATGAGAGAAGACAGTCTTCTCAATAAAAGAGGTAACTGCAAGAGTGAGAAAAGTCCTGCAAAATTACCACTTTTATAGGCTGCAGTGGGAGGAAGAACTGAGAGTAAAGTTAATGAAGGAGATAGTGTGTAGTTGAGAGTTGCTGGAAGGCAGATGACAGCTCCATGCTTAGACCAAGAACGAGTAACAGAAATTGAAAAGAGAAGCTTAGGTTCAACCACCGATGCAGAGAGGCAATAAAAAGAAGAATAAGAACAATAAAAAAATGTATAGGAAGCATCGGACAGACGAGGATATAGAACTAGCAAATTAACCAGAAATAAAAATGCAAGGGTGAGGACAGAGGCAGAGAAATAATTTGAGAACGACACAGCATCCATGGCCAAGTCTGACCCAAAACTATCTCACTGCCACATCAGAAATAAAAACATTAAAAGAACAGGCAATCGAGTGAAGAAGGAAGAAGAGCTCTCGGAAAATGACAAGGAAGTCTCCAAAGTACTGAACAAATAAATGATTTAAACTGGTCTTCTCAGTGGAAACAGCGACACCAACAGAAAGCATTTCTCCTGAAGCAGACTGTAACAGCATAAGCGCTGCAGGAGACACGACGCTGACAAAGTTAAGGGAAGCTTTTACGAGCATCAACAAGGAGTCGTTCACGACCATATACATGGGATATATCAGAACCATCTCGGAGTACGCAGCGCCAGTATGGAACCCACAAAAGTTTGCAATGAAACTAATCCCAGAGCCAAGGGGTATGAACTCTGAGGGGAGGAGAGAGAATTTAAACTTGACACTAGAGAACAGAAGGGTCAGACGTGACATGAATACGACGTACAAAATACTGAGAGGAACTGACAAGGTGGATAGAGTGAATCTGAGATATGGGTCTCAGGCACATGAGGCCAGGGCTGGAAATTAAAAGCACAGATGAGTCACATGGATGTTGGGAAGCATTTCTTTAGCATTAGAGTGATAAGGAACCAAAACGACATAGACAGCTAAGTGCTAGATGCGTAATCCATACATAGCTTTAAGAATAGGTACGATAAGGCTCACACAGCCAGGGTAGAGGGAAACCGCTAGCGCCAACAGAAAGGCAGGGCCAGGAGCTGAGACACGACCCCTGAAACCACAATTAGGAGAATGCATTTACGTGACTACATCCCCAACTCCACACACACTCGTACCCTACAACCACAAATAGGTACACAAACACACACGTATACACACACACACACACACACACACACACACACACACACATCACACACACACACACACACACACACACACCAGGCCTAGTGTCTAATCGACATGTGCCTAGGACAAAATGGTAACTAACACACACACACACACACACACACACACACACACACACCACACACACACACACACACACACACACACACACACACACACACAAGTACATTTGCCAGTGAAACTGATGAAAGGAAAGCTGCAGTGGAGGAAACCAAATTAGATGAGGGGATACACAGGGATATGCAGTGGGAGAATGAAAGGGTGAGGTCAGTCTTTGTGTATGGGCTCCAGGAAGTCGAAGGGAAAACATATGAAGCAAGAAAACAAGGGGAAAAAAAGCAATTGAAAGCATCATGAAAGCAATAGGAGAAGACGATATGACCCAGCTGGAAAATTTTCGGAGTATAGGGGGGT